GCTTGATGGATGGCGGCTCGAGGCAGGGTTGCCCAAGGGGCAGACAGGGTCCAGGGGGACGAGCCCTGAGCTGACCCCGACCCCCTCCCTCCCCAGGATCCCCACGGCCAGCATGTGGGGCGCCGTGGGCGCCGTGGGGTTGGTGTGGGCTACCGACTGGCGGCTGATCCTGGACTGGGTGCCCTACATCAGTGGCAAATTCAAGCGGGAGGACTGAGGGGTGGCCGCACAGACCCACTGGTGAGTCTCCCCTGGTGTGGACGGGGCAGGGGAGAGGTAGGGGGAAGGCAGGCGGGCAGGGATGAGGGGCTAGGGGACCACGACCCAAGGGCCAAGGAGGGGGTCGCAGGGACTGGGCTGTCAGCCTGAGAGCGGGTTCTGGGCGGCTCTTTGGCACCTTTGCCCTCCAGCTCAGAGCGGCAGGGAGAGCCCTGTCCCCGGGGGGACAGCTGCTGGGCCGGGGGTGACCCCGATGGCCACCTCGTGGGTGAGGGATGCCCTGGCTCACACGTGGGAGGGTGGAGGCCCCCAGGCCTATCATGCCACCGGCACCCGGGCTCCCGGCCTGGGGCTGTTTCGGTGCCGCTGATGGACGGAGCCCCCGGCCAGCTGCACGGTCAGGGTCTTGTGGCAGCTGCGGCCACTCACCCGTCTGTCCCCCCAGGTTTCTGGTGGCGTCGACTCCCACCTCTCCACTGCCACGCCTGGAACGGCCCCAGCCTCAAGACAGATGCCACGGGATCCCCCAGGGCGACAGCGCGTCCGGGGTTTCTGGAAACTGCTTGATGTCCGTGTCTCTGCGCGTGGCATTAAACCTCCCTGAAACCGCCTGCCTGGGTGTTGCTCACGCGGGCGACGCGGTGCCCACCTGCAGGGGCACAGGTGACCCAGGTCCCTTCAGCCCAGGACACTGCCAGCTGGAGGCTTCCAGGACCTGCGGAAGGCGCCCATTTAGAACGTGGGACGGACGCCGGCTGCAGGCGTGTCCATAGCCACCGTCCTCACAAGTCACCCACCTTGGCAACCTCAAACTGCCAACATCCATGATCTCACGGCTGCCATGGGCCGTGGGCGTGGCCTGTTGGGGTTCTGGCCTGTGGTCTCTGCGAAGACGCAGCTGGAGCTGGCGGAGCCGTGTGCAGGCTGGTGCCCTCGCAGGCTGTTGGCGGGAGGCCTGGCTGCTCCCTGCGCGGGGACCTCAGAGAGCCACGAGAGCAGTTCTTCCGGCATGGCACCAGTGCCCCAGGGTGCCAAGGGACAGCAAGCAGGCAGCCGTGGTGCTCTGGCCCCAGAAGCCCACACGGTCAGCTGGTCAGACCCAGTGCGCCCAGCCCCACACGGGGAGGAGAGTTGGGGTTTGTGTGTGGTGGGGGGACGTGGGCGTTTGTAGACATTTGTAGACGCTTGGGTCGGTGCGAGGGGACGCAAAAGTGAGCAGGGCCGGAAGGTGTGTGCTGCGGTTGACCTCCCTGCTGCTCCTGCCCGTGCTCCAGCTCACAGCAATGCCTTGAATGTTCTAGAAACATTTCATGCACATAGAAGCACATTTGTGACCACGGTTCTTGCGTGAGTCGGGTAGGGCTGCTCTCACAATGCCCCGGGTCACACATGGTCTCACTGGTGCCCAGGCTGGCGGCCCAGTCCTGGCTCCCTGTAACCTCAGCCTGCTGGACCTGAGGGATCCTTCCATCTCAACCTCCCCAGTAGCGGGGACTACAGGCACCACCACGCCTGGCTGAGTTTTAAAATGTTTTTTATAGAGACAGGGTTTCACTGTGTTGCCGAGGCTGGTCTCAAACTCTGAGGCTCAAGCGATCCTCCTGCCTTGGCCCAAAGTGTTGGGATTTCAGGTGTGGGCTACCACACCCAGCTGAATTACTCTTAACCCTTTTTTTTTTTTTTTTTGAGACAGGATCTTGCTTTGTTGCCCAGGCTGGCATAAAGTAGTACAGTCGTAGCCCACTGCAGCCTCGACCTCCTGGGCTCAAGCCATCCTCCCACATCTGCCTCCTAGGCAGCTGGAACTACAGGACGTAACCACACCTGCCTAATTTTTATTTTCTGTAGAGACAGGGTCTTGCTGTGCTGCCCAGGGTGGCACATTTGACACTCATGGCTGCCCTGCACGGTGGTCGGCAGAATCACCATCCCACAGAGCCTCACCCTGAGTCTGCACACTGGTGAGTGAAGCCATGTCACTGCCTGAAGCAAAAGGAAATGTGTGTCCTCACAGGCATATTTTCGTGGGGTTTTGTTTGTTGAGTTGAAGTCTCACTCTGTTGCCCAGGCTGGAGTGCAGTGGCATGCTCACGGTTACCCCAGTGTCGACCTGCTGGGCTCCGGTGATCCTTCTGCCTCAGCCTTCCAAGTAGATGGAACTACAGACACGCACTACCACACCCGGATAATTTTTAACAAATTTTTATTGTAGAGATGAGGTCTCCCCAAGTTGCCTGGGCTGGTCTCGAACCTGTGGGCTCAGGCAATCCACTTGCCTTGGCCTCCCAAAGTGCTGGGATTACAGGCTGAGTCACTGAGCCCAGTCAGTTTTTTGTTTGTCTTTTGAGTTGGAGTGTCACCCCGTCACCCAAGCTAGAGTGCAGTGGCATGCCCACGGCCACCCCAGTGTCAACGTGCTGGACTCCAGCGATCCTTCCGGCTCAGTCTTCCAGGTAGCCAGAACTACAGGCATGCGCCACCATGCCTGACTAATTTTTATTTATTGTAGCGACAAGGTCTTACCAAGTTGCCCAGGCTGGCCTCAAACCTGCGGGCTCAGGCAGTCCACTTGCCTTGGCCTCCCAGAGTGCTGGGATTTCAGGCGGAGCCACTGAGCCTAGCAATACCATGAGTTTGAGTACAACTACTTTCGATATGTTAATACCTGACCAATCACTTTACTGCTCTGGAGAAAAACTCAGCCAATGAAAACCACATAAATGTGTGTGCCAGACGGCGCTTCCCCTTCTGGCTTCAGATTATCTCAGCCTGCGCAGCCAAGCCCTGTCTTACAATTTTGATAGTTTGCATTCATTTCGGGTTTTTTGAAATGCTCCACTAAGACAGATGTAGTGGCACACAACTGTAACTCCAGCACTCTGAGAGGTCAGTGTGGGATTGCTTGAGGCCAAGAGTTCCAAGACTAGCCTGGGCAACACAGCAGCACTCCATTCTTTTTTTTTTTTTTCCCCTGAGACCTGAGTTCAAGCCTGTGGTGGCGCTGGCTGGAAGTCCCCCAAAACCCCTGCCGGCTCATCACCTCCCTCAGGGCCGGGACTGCCTCCCCCTCTCCTTCCACTCCTCGCTTAGCCTGCCTCCGACCAAGCTACCCAGACACCCCACGCTGGTGACTGAGACCCGGCGACTGGGCCGCACGGGGCTCCCTGAGTCCTGGCCTGCAGCG